ACGTTAAACTTTTTTCTTCAAAAGAGTAATACCGAGAAGAATCACAGCAATCGACAGCAACCGCATGGATCATGCATTTCCATCCGCTCCCGCAAACTTGACGCAGAATGTATGCAAATATACACACCAGCTCGTTAAAAAGAATCCGAACCCTGACACGTCCCCTCGACCCTGTATGCTAAATAGAAGGGTAAGCAAAAAGACAACGTCTTGCCGAGATAGTAATTACTTAGATGTAATTTATATCACCAGTTCCCACCAAGAATCAACAATGCATTGCTCTGATATAGAAGCACAACTGAAACAAAGGGAAACCCTTCCAAAAACCACGTACTTCTCTAATTTTCGTCAAATATGTTGAATAATGTTCCAGCCTGAGCAGGGTTAGTTTTTTAAGAAGTGGGAAGCCTTCAATAAAATAAGAAGAGGATTGTCGTAGAATAACAATCGTCTTTAACAAACGACAAATTTATTAAGTTTAATAACGCCGAAAACTCCAAACACCTACAGCGAAATAATAAATATTTATCAGTCCAACATCTGAACGATATACTTACATACCCAGTTGAAACAAGAAACGTCCTGTCTTGTATGTGTTGCCCGAACTCATACATCACATAGAGGTAGATGTAAAGATAATCACTACCTTGCGCTTCTCGGAAAAGGGACCACAAAAGTTAGACACATTTATCAAATGTCCGCCAAGACTTAAACTAATCACCTCTGCCTCTATTTTTTGTTTAGACCTGAGCCAAGACATTCACACAACAAAGATGTGTCAAATTAACCGACTGTATAAATTGTGTTTTGCTTTCGAACCACCCACGCCTGAAACGCGAGATATACAATGCAAAAACGTCAAGATCAGGAACATACCAGACGCACATGTGCATGCCCGTTTATTAGTGTGTTAAATGTGAAAACAACACGATCCCAGAATAAATGTTTAAAACTAAGCAAACAACCGACTCTGTGTTGAAGCAAATCATTCCCGCCCAACCACAAAGTGTCAAGCCTATACAAGACAATACCTAAAAGGAAAACCCTCTATATGCGGGTCTACCCAACAACCTTCCAATAAAACAGAAAATGTTTCAACAAGAAGGATGTCAGGACACAAACAGCAACATAAACTACTTATCTTCACGAAAACGCAAGAAGCAACATGTAAATGCAGAACATGACCCGTGGCTCCGATCAAAGCCTGGAGAAAGACATCAACACAAACACGGAAGCATCCATTAATGAAAATTTATACAGGCACTCCTTTGAACAAATTTGAAAACAGACTAATGCAGGCAAAGTCAACTAATAAACTCTCTAATTAACCTCATAAAACGGCGCTTGCTCCAAACGATCTTAATGCCTAAATTTCTCGCATTCAGCTTGGAACACAACGCTTGGCAAATCATGCAAGAAATCGAAATATTTCTCAATCCGAAAACAAATAGACCATGCTACTCATCTCTGTAATCTCACTTCACCTCAGAAAGAATCTAACTTTTTAAACTGAAGAACTTACTACTATTTATACTTAAGATAACTATTAACACCCTAAAAGTAGCAATGCCCATAAAGTGCACAGCTTAATATTAATAAAAACATAATTAAACATCAAGAACAGCGAAGCGTACTAGGAACAGGATATTCAAGCAACGACTCGTCACAAAATCATGACCGGAGTGACCAATACATCAGCCCATTACAATATCATATTTACTTATTATTTTGTAAAAAAATAGATTGTACATTTTTTGTTATAAATAAAAAATACTATTTGAGATGAACGAGACCAAAGCTAATTCGTCTCCATCTCCTATTTTCAGAACCGCCAGTCAAGTGATATTGATTGATCATTGATGCCGTGTATAAAAGCTTTAACTATAAAGATAGCTTACGAAGGCTTCCGCTGTCGTAACATTCACAACGATAATGAAATCTCTTTCAAAAATCTATTTCTCCTCGGTCGGTATCAAAGAAAACTTGGCTCTTCGGGATGTGCCACCACCTATGCGTGGTTGCCAGTGCTTCGGTTGGCGTACTGAGACTTACAGGGTTGTCGCTGGCGAAGTAGTATAGAAAGGAATAGTATGATGGTCGAAACATTGGCAACACTGCGAAAAGAACGGTGACATATTTACAAGCTGAAAGTTACGCGTCTCTTACCAATACGCAAAAAAGGAAAAGAGTTTGAAAAGTAAAAATCAAGCTTTTGCGCTACTCGAAAGTCAAAGATAAAGGTTAAAGAATTCAAGGATTAAGAAATTCATTACTTTATGATCTCTTTCTATTCCAGAACCGTTTATAATGGGATACGTTGCTCAGAACATATGGTACGAAACGCGTATGCTATGGATGTATTGTGTTTAAAGAATTTTTATGTAGCTATTTTTAACCTTTAGTTGGTGTATATTTTCCTACCCGTTAATTTAAATAAGCTACCGCTCGAAGAGAATATCTCGGCGTGTGGCACATTATTTTTAATCACGTTATATACTGATTTGTTCATTGAATAATAATAGTATTTGACTGCGAAATACTAGTGTATTTACGCAAAAAATAAGTAATGCAACATAAGTGGACTGATAGTAGCCAGTTTAACTGAAACATTTACTTTTTGCTGTAGAAAATGACAAGTGAATACGACCGGGCTCTCAACGTTATCACTAAGAATTTCCTTCGAGTGCAATACATCTCTAATGCAGTTTGCTTCTTGACGATTCTTCAAACTTGCTTCTCTCACGTCAACACTTCGCCTTCTTACACATCACTGTTTCAATACAAGTTACAGGTCGCTAATTGACTTCAATTGAATATGGATGTATCGTTCACAAGTATGAATACAATATAATAGTATATAGTAGTATATAGGAGTATATAAATACAATAAGTATATATCAGAATCCGTAAATGTTACACTTTTCTAGAGCATATACATGAATCGAAAATAATCACTTATGAAGACGAAAAAATTGACAATGAAAATGTAATGAGAAAATTTAATAGAACCGAGTTGCTACTGTACCTTTTCCCCTGAATTTTAGGCAACTCTCCATGCACACTTGTTCGGCAGGACACATTATGTTAGTATGGCCACGCAAGGGATTTCGTGTACCTGCCGAATATATGTGCATACATGATGGCCTAAAATCAGGAGCAAATGTTACATGTATAAATGCATATAACTCTATTATAAGCAAATTTCCCTCGGTGTCCATCGCCAAAATGTGACCATGTTTACCCCTCTACCCCCTAAAACTTGGTAACATTTATTTTGAAACAAGTATATGAAGGCACAACTAATTTTTATCAAATCTGGAAAACACACCGAATTGTTCCATGAGAAACTTACAGGATGTTTGTATGCATTTAATTAAACCATAAAATTCCAATGTATCCAAACTTTCAAACGTCTACTTATGAATTAATATTTAAATTACACTGTTTTCAATCTAGTGATAGCATTATGAATACAAATAATAATAATAACAACAACAACAATAATAATAATAATAATAATAATAATAATAATAATAATAAAATCTGTATTGTATATTTCACAAATAGAGTTTTGTGGTCGATAGGTTTACTAGCATCATCATAAAATAATATTACCATACGTTTCATGTGTTAAATGTTCATTTGTTTCATATTATCTTTTCGTCAATTTCCTCTGATTGTTGTACATTTTAAAGTACCGTTTTCGAATGTCTTTATGAGAGCATCTACAAATTCTGCATCTTTCTAAATAGATGCAAGTAGTCATTAAAACTTCTAATAACAAAGGACAACATTCGAACTATAATTTGACAGCTTTTTTTATTGTTGCGTTAATTAGCAATCTTACGTCTACACACATAGTACATAACGCTATTAACATCACCTTTTGGACAGATAAATCTTATTCGTTAATCAAACATACTAAATACCCGACGTCCACTTTGATTTACACATATTATGAGATAATAATTCGTAAAAGAAGTGATTTGTTTGAAAGCAGATTGGAGACAAAAGAAAGTCAAAATATCGCACTTCTCGGTTTGCATAAGCATCATTGTATGACATTTTAATAAAATTAAATTGCGTTTAGCAACTTGTAAGTCTGTTTATTTCATCATTTTACCACAGAACGCTCCGGCTCCGGAGCAGCGCGCAAGACTAGTGCGCTGGATGTGTCGCAGCTAAGAGTTTCGCTCAAAGACATCGCTTGCTACCTCTCACTCATTGAAGGGGGCCGACCAGAAGACAAGTTGGAATGTAAGTGTTGGCTGACTGCAAATTCGCGAAAAACATGTTATTTCACTAGCATTATAGATCACGATATTCTTCTCTTTCGTACTCCCAGAGTATATCCATGTGTAGCCAACATTAATCAACTAGTTGTATGCCCAAATACGTCTGAACTTCTCCAAGTTTGTTTTGTTATTGCACGAGAAAAATAAAAATTAAAGAAATTAATGTTAAAAATAAAGAGAATGAGATGAGCCAAAACATGAAAATGATAGTGCTTTCTGTTTCTTTACTATTCTAAATAATGCACATAACAAGATGGTTGATAGTTTTAAGAAATATATCGATACTTTTTTGTTCGCTCGTTGGACAATAAAGCAAAATTAATTATTATAATGAAATATATTCGATCCTTCAGGCATCTGATTATCTCAAGGCTTTTATAACAAAATGGTTTCGAAAAAGTAAAGAAAATCATGAAATACTTTTTTCAATACAATGAACAACGTTATAATCAAGATCAAGCAATCTGAAATATATCTATATAATTTAGAGTAGAACAAAGTGTGAAAAAAATATGAATCATAACGTAGATACAAAGTTAAAAAAACATAAGACATCATTTTATTATTAAATAAACAAAAAAATTGAAATGGCTATCTCTCCTTCATAAAGGTCCAATATTAATTCCGTATGTATATTACCCTGTAATTTTTGTCTCTTATCAATTACGCTCTATAAATCAACATACTTTTTAAATAACAAAAACTGAAGTGTTACTTATTATCATCAAACGTCGTTTTATACGCAATGGTGGTTGAAATAAAGAATTCTCAAATCGCCAATTTAAAATAATATTTCTACCATTTTATTCTAATCAACTGACAAATATTAAGAATTAGAGATTCATAGTACTTGGATCATATCTCATTAATAGTGAAACACAAATGCATTTAAATAAAACCATGAATGTTAAAAAAATAGTTGATTTTACGGTGTTCAGAAAAATATTTAACGTTTCAAAACATACAAAGGTAGACTTGTAGTATTTCAAATATAATGCGTAATGAACAATTCTTTATTAAAAATTTCTCCGATATGTAAGTACTAGAAATAGAATTTGTATTCTTTTATGTACCACAACATCTGGATATTTCTCAATTCTAGTGCAGTTAATTTCTTTTTTTTTTTTTTTATTTTCTTGCGACTCCTGGTAGAAATTCTTAAACGTACTTGATAATTGGGAGACGAAATAATATATCAAAGAAGCAACTGTCTGGCATGCGACTTATATTATGTATTGATTTCAAAAATGACCTTTGATTTGTTTTACAGTCATGTTCCGCTTGTATGATACGGATGGAAATGGCGTATTAGATACCAACGTAAGTATTCTCCAAATTGTCCCAAATGCGTGATGTATATTTTACTACATGAGAATTGTTATAGAAAATTAACTAAAAATAGTTGTAGACTTTTTTCTGCAATATATTTATTACTAACTTATATATTATTTGTACTAAGATTATAATGTTTCTGCTAAGATAAAATAATTACTACTTATTATAATTTAAAAATTGCCAATTTTAAAACAATAGTCACTAATGTTAGAAAGAACTAAACAAATAAATGTCTATTTTAGCGATAAACTTGAATAAAGATTATAAAAAGAATAATTCGTGGCCTTTCATGACAAATATTATATTTCCTCGATTATTAAACGCTAAGTAGCTAGAATAGTTCATTCAATCTCCGTTGATTTGTATTTAAAATCCAAGTATTATCCCTATAATTAGTTCTAAGTACAATTTGTCATTTAGCAGACAAACCATATTCCGGTAGTTAAAATCTACTTCGGAGGTCACTGGTAATATCCTGTGGTATTTTCGTGGTAGCTACTATTTTTATCGCTTTATATTGTAAAAGATGGCGACAATTTTTATTAATTCTCTGTTGATATAGTTATTTTTGGTGTAAGTCGTGCCTACGGCAGATTGTTTCAACAACAAATGAGCAACGAGAATGAAGCAACTGTCCGAAAGGAAATTTTAGAGACCGGCTGGACTTATCGTGACCTTATTTCTGTAGCCCCTCCCTTCAATTCTAAAACGTATGCCAGAGCGGTAATTATACAGCGGCCTTCGAACCCTTCATGAAGCTTCCGCATTGTATTAATTTTCGTCTCAAGATTTTCTCAATCCCGATGGTTCAATAATATGAATTTTTCCAACAGTACGCAAATACCTCTACATGCTCTGAAATAGTTTTTTTTAATTACTCTAGTACTCTCTTCTATTACATATAATATAGTTATCTATTATAAAATATGTAATATATTATAAAACAGATTAATCTTTATTTTACGAACACACACGCGATCAAAACCTTCAAAGATGTTTTTCCCCACAGGAAATGGATTGCATTGTCAACCAGATGATGACTGTAGCAGAATACCTGGGATGGGATGTCACGGAGCTGAAGCCGGTAAGTGATAGATCTAATCCTATAGAGGTTTTATCAGTTTTCGTCCATGGTAGTCTTATATGTCATAAACAAATTCTTCTTTAAAACCTTTAAAAAAATATTTTTTAAATTTACAAGTAAAATGTGAAATATATTCTTCAAACTTAACACGTAATAATTCTAGAAGATGTGTATTCCACAGTTCTAAGAAAAATATTGCAGTATATAATACGTTTTATTTCACTAATTCTGTAACGAAATATAAAGGAGAATGCAAAACGCACAAAATTTACCTGGGTTCAACTACTGTAATTTTAAGTTTTTAAATGAAAATGATAGTAACATAGCTTTTATGCATAAGTTTATTTTTCTACGATTAACAATCGCAGAAATTTACGGATAGAAAAATACGGATTAATTAAAATCGAATTTTTCCCAATAGCGTAGAGCATGAGAATTACGTTTTGCACACTCTTCTGCAAAGTTACACCCTTTCGTGAACTGTTTACAATTATTCAAAGACGTACGGGTTTTCAATCTTGGAACACAACGTGCTTTTAACTGCTACAGTTTTAAATATAATAATGATTTGATTGAAATACGGAATGGATAATAAAAACATAATTCGAAGTGAAGCATTAAAGACTTGTTTTCCAAATTCCTTGGGTGGACCCAAATTTTTTAATTACCAGATCATCCAGAGTATACCACCCTGCGTAAGCGATGCATTTCTTAAGAGAGATTGAGGACACTTTTTGATGTGCTGATCGCCCAGCCTTGGGTGATCGTGGCCAAGCCGGGACTCTGGAGTAGGCCTAACCAAATTGCTTCCTCAAACAAACTTTTTGCCACACCACTGAAATCTACATTAACTAGTGGTGCTACTGCGGCATATACTTTCTCGCAATATTTGAAAGTTTCGATATTTTCGAAAATTCAGAAAATTATACGAAAATTAGAGCTGCGTCACTTTTTAAGTGTCCTTTGTACTATCCGAGAAAAAATTAAGAACATATTTGAATCCAGTTTTGAGGAAAAATTATACATTTATTTTACGACAAGAAAAAAAGTAGGCAAGGCAAAAACTATTCGCATTTTCAAAACATTGTGCCTGAAATTATTTGAGATCTAAATTTTTTGAACACATCTCATAAAGGAAAAATCGTTATCATCAACATTATAGTTATTTTTTTCAATTATCGAAAGTACAAAGACGGAAGGAGACGGACGAACTGAAGGGCGAACGGAATGACGGACGGATCGAATGACGGTCTGACTGACGGAGGAACGAATGGAAGGACGGACGGAAGGGCGCACGGACGGAAAGACATACGGGCGGAAGGGCGGATGGAAGAACGGACGGAAGGATGGACGGACGGAAAGACGGACGTAAGGACGTATGGACGGACGAAAGGACGGACGGACGAAAGGAAGGACGGACGAAAGGACGGACGGACGAAAGGACGGACGGACGGACGAAAGAACGGTCGGAAGGACGGATGGGCGAAAGGATGGACGGACGAAAGGACGGTGGGACGAAGGCACGGACGAAAGAACGGACTAAAATATTTAATATTATGCAAAAATAAAAATTTAATATCCCACGCAACATTTCGTGAAATATTCTCATAGTTTTCGGAAAATTATTCATGTCACTATTTCAAGATCTGTTTTTTAACACATTTTATTAAGAAAAAAGATCTCTATATTCCATTGTAGCTGTACAAAGACACACAATTTTTTTTAACTTTTGCTCTACGCGCACATGTTGATGTTCAATAAAATGAGACCTCTCCCATTTTTCGGTGTCCTTTTCTCTATCCGATAAAAATTCCATGGAAGGTTCGGAACCATTGCTAAGGAAACTTTGAAATTGTTGTGGATTCTTGTAAATTACCCCCAAAATCGAAATATATTTTTCAAATTTCGCAGGGCTTCTTGATATTTTGAAGAATATTAATTTCGGAGAAATTCGTGAAGTTAGGCGCCAGTGTTGACCACAGACAGACATGCAGACAATTGTTCAGCCGTAAACACGTTGTTCGGTAACAAGGACCCACAAAACGTGTACTCTGACTACACAACATATTAGGGAAAGCAATTTACTAGCTATAGGAACAAGATTAATTCACTTTTATTGATATCGAAACCCCTCAATATGAGTTTCTCTGACGAAATATTGCCACTTTTGGCTGTAGCATTACATACTTTGTCCTACACCTTTTGTTGGTAGTGTGGTAGTAAGGAATAAATCTAACATAAAAAACATGAAAATTGCGCCACCATAGAACAGGGAAATATCCGAAGAGGTTCGATCTAAAAGCGATAACAAAATGCGCGAATTTGACTCTTCAGATTATTCCGAGAACAAGATCGCACTGATGATTTGACCCGTGAATACAGGATGTAGTCTTTTATTACTGACTGTCGATGCAGAATAATAATGTTCGTAATTTCCTTCCTCGTATCTTACATAATAAATTTTAAAGCTACATCCAATCAACTTCGCAGACACGTGTTGGCTTCGTATTAATTGGTACGACAATAGAAATCAGAGTTTCCGATTCATCTAAACCTCGTTACACGGCGAGTTTCATTTTTTCGACAATACCTGGTTATAATAAGCTGAACTTTGCAGACATTCTGTGTATCCCGTCGCGCCGAGCCGTCTGAATGGTAATTGGACACAGTATTTTTATTTCGCCCACGGGTTCTTGAGAGAAGCTCACAAGGCGGTTACACGAGTTCACGCCGCATTGGATTAGCAAAAATCGCGGTTTCAAAAGCTCTGAGTATTTCTCATTAAAACTTTCTCACAGACAACACCTCATAACCCGCAAAAAAAGAAAAAAAAAGCGGATCGTGAAATTGATTTCAAGCTTCTTCGTCGGCAGATTTTGCAAGACATGATGGTGGAAATTGACTACGACGCAGACGGGACCGTGTCCCTGGAGGAGTGGAAGCGCGGTGGAATGACGACCATTCCGCTGTTGGTGTTGCTGGGCTTGGATACGGTAAGTGATACTCTTTATTGTATGATCGCACCTGGAAGAGCGTGAATGGTTTTGGTGGGAAAGTGATAAGGAACGTATGGTATGAATGATGATGGATTAATGGTGGAAAGAGAAGCACGGAGACCCAAAGAACACGGAAAAACGTGCCCCGATCCCTCTTTGTCCTCCACGATTTCTACTTTCAGCGATTTGTATTTGAACCGACGACCTAGTCCATCGGAGGCAAGCAGTCTAACACCCAAGACACGGGTCGTCACAACATCGAGCTATAGGTTGAATAACGTTGAGTATGAGACTGCTCTCTGAAAACTTAGGACGACGAATTGTGCATGTAGTTATCAGGTTTTTGTCGTTTTCGAAGCCGAAAAAAAATTATAGGTTTTCTTTAGGTGTAGCCTAGCTTTGTGACAAGTCTCCAATTGTGTTTATTAATTAACTTGCACATTTTAAAAGAACGGAGCAGAATTAATTAGTAAATAACCTCTAGAACTCTGATGTCGAAACCTCGACTATATTTTTTCCATTTACTTACGAGTGTTTTACCATAATTTTTAACTCTAAACTTGGGCTGACACAAATCTCGGACCTTTTTTGAATAAAAATCGGAAACGGAAATTAAACTAAAGTGACCAATGTAATGTTTTTTAAATAATTTTCTGTGACAAGAATATCAAACATTTATTTTGTTTTCCAGTGAAATTATACACATTTATTTATAAAGTAGTAAGCATGAACAAGTAGATTCAATCGATGCACTAGTGTACGATGAGGATACATCCCTGAGTTTATATTGGTTAACAAACATAATTACTTCAAAACAACCACAATCCAGGTGTCACACAGCTCCATAAAATCGCTGATTTCGCTCCTAAGTTGAGGTTCTGTGGTTTGGAGCAGCTCCACTTTGCGACGGAGGCCGTTCTCAGAACGCAGATATTTTCAGTCTTCCCTGAATGCGCTCGTCCCTTTCTTCCACAGTGACCGCGTTCACTGTTCTGCAAAAGTCCTGCGTCAAAAACTCTGCGACACGCCGCCTGCGCTTCTCGAGATGTGGGGCGGGTTGCCGACCGACAGGCGCTTCGTCACCCCTCCAAACCTCGGATGAAGTTCAACAGGTGTTTCTTTTCCTTCTCCTCACATGTCAGCTAAGAACTTCGTGTCCAATTTGATGTGAAGATCGAATTGAATCGATTTTGAGAAACCTTCGTTTCCAATGACACAGTTACCGGCGATGAAAAAAAGCAAAAAGAAAGGTACAAGAGAGGTATACAAAAATGAAGTTTTCCGAGATGATCAAGAATACTTTTCAGACTGACGATCTCATTAATTCTATCTCTCTCTAACATAAAAATACGAGAAATTCTTAATTATAATAATTGTATTAATATAGGGACAAAACGAAACAAATAAAGCATGTTTCATATAGGTAATATTTTGTCCATATTTCTTGTTCAAAATACATTCAAACAACACAAACATATATTAATACTTCCTCCAAACAAACATTCAAACGCTCTGAAAAACGTTGTGTCTCCACTGACTTCCAAAAATTACACAAATGTTGATTAGCATTATGTTGCTCCAAACCTTTCTATATGTAACAATTTGATTCGCAATCAGTCAAAACAACTACATTATACTTTGCCTTAGCCATATTACAGTATAAAACTAATATTAATAGAAAAACCAGAAACGTCTTAGAACATATTATTCATTCTAAAAATTACATACGAAGAAGGAGAACTAAGAAGCAGTTCCGTAGATTTGTGCATTAAAATTAAAAATATGTAAGCAATTTTGTTCAAAAACACCACTATATTATTTATTGTTCTAATGTTTCTCTTCATAAAATACTTTCATTAAAAATAATTCTTTAGTATATAGTTTACAGTTCATACTCTTAAAGAGAGCCCGAAATAGCAATATATTATCACGCCTATTGTAAACAATGTTTAAGTTGAATTGAATTGAATCGAATCGAATCGAATCGAATCGAATCGAATCGAATCGAATCGAATTGAATTAATGCCACATGTTACGTGGCAAGACTCGGGCCATCAGGCCTCTGACCACGAATATTTCGCAAAAGTTGCTCCTCAATGAAATTATCATTTCATCATGCCATGAAATTTTCATTTATACAGGGTTTCCCACCAAGTGTGTACCACCCCTATAACTTCTAAATGGGATCGAAATGCAGTTTTCGCTCAACACTGCATAATCGTGGGGCAAGTAATATATACTATAATAGATGGTAGAATGTAGAAGTATATCCTGTAGAGGTATATCGTTTGTAATATTTTTAGTGTTTGAGTAATTTTAATAAATTATGATTTTTTAAAGAGAATTATATTTTTCTCTCTCAATGCATAAGCAATAAAAAGAGGAATAAAATACTGAATTATTTGTCAATGTTTATATAGTAAGTTGAGTATAAAATTAAATTTTCTACATGTGATTTGAAATTAAATGGGCAATACGTTCTTTAGTAGCTTTTGCGAATGTCGTCTTGCGAGGCGGTAGTCCTGATGCGCCAACGCTGTTTCGGGGAGAGGGAGACGGAGAGGATGGCAGTAAAGGATAGAGCAATCCACGGTCTTGACACGGACACACAAACGATGCATCAATCCTGACAATTAGGATGCGAGCTTTTTTATCATTCATTCGTCAAATTTAACTTTTCTTGCACCGATTAAATTTTCTAAGCATCGGTTTTGGGTGCTCAAAAGTGCACAAAACACGAGCCAGTTCGTCGACTGTTACACACGACTATAAAAACACGACTGTGCGTAAAAAAGCCTGTGTAATTTACGTATATATTCCTACTCTGTTTTCTACATTTATCGCCGCCTTATTTTACTGTTTAATTTTTTTCTATGACAATAATGTTGTATGCTTTTCATAGTATATCGAAGATTATTTTATTTTATTCTTTGGTATACTGATGTACTAAGTGACAAGATTACTAACATTAATATGAGGGTTGCCTTTTGTATTTCAGGATTAAAGAACAAAAACAAATATTAATAATCGAAAATCACTATTGTTTTTCAAAATATTCCCCAAGAAAATCTATTCACTTTTGCATGCGTTTGAACCAATTGTCGAAGCACTTTTGCCACTCCGATTGAGGGATCTCGAAAACATTCATTCTGAATGCAGCAACCGCTTCTTCATGTGTCGAAAAACGTTGACCTCTCAGTTTGATTTTTACGTACGGGAATAAAAAGAAGTCATTCGGTGCCAAGTCAGAACTATTCGGTGGATGACTCATCAAATCGATGTTTTGGATGCTCAAAAATGCAGTTATTTGAGCCGATGTGTGAGAGCTCGCATTGTTGTGGTGAAGAGTGATCCGTCTTCGGCGGTTGGTTTTCCTGATTTCTTGGGAGACAGCTGGCAAACAAATCGTTGTGTACCACTCAGAATTGACTGTTATGCGTTGTTCTAGTGGTACGGTTGCAACATGTTTAGTTTTTTCGAAAAAAACAGGCGATCATCTGTTTGGTTCGTGCGCGAACAACTTTTGTTGGATTTTGCTCATCTTGAAACACCCATACAGTCGATTGCTCTTTACTTTTGGGCTCATACGCGTAAATACACGATCATCACCTGTCACGATGTCATAGACGTGTTTCGAAGCAGCGATTGACAAATTGTGCGGGATCCAACGCGAACAAATGTTTTTGACAGTCAAATGTTCATGCAATATTGAATGTATGCTGGTCCGACTATTGCCTAAGGTTGTCTCAATCTCACGATAGGTCACATGACGATCTTGCAATATCAGTTCATGCACAGCATCAATGGTTTTCGGAACAACAAATGATTTTGGACGACCTTCGCAAAATTCGTCCTGGAGTGAACTACGACCACGATTGAATTCACCATACCATCGATAAACACTGGTCCTTGATGGAGCTTCATCGCCAAAATAGAATTAAGTCCATCCATGCACTGTTGCTGAGTTAATCCATTTTTGGGCCAAGATGAATCTTTTAAATTACTGTAAACAACATAAATAGCGCTCATATGTCAAAACGTTCTGAGTACGTATTACCTCAAAACATCCAACTTTACGATAGAGCTGTCAGTTGCCAGATTGCAACACTAGGGTTGCCAAATCCCGAAACATAAAAGGTAACAGAAAATGTCTACTTCACGATGATGTGATGCATTATTTCGAGAAATTACTGTGAAATTTTCAACTATTCATTCCGTTTCCTTGTACTTAAATTATTTTAAAAAGTTGACTTGTTTCTACAGCCACAAGGCATAGATCTCGATTCTTATTAAGATAGAAAATGACATTTTCTGTTATCATTATCATTATCGCAATTTTTTATATTGTTCATTTCAGTGAATGATGCTTTCAAATTATAGTCAGTAGAAGAAAAGTGAAATTGAGATGAACCATTCAAAAATCTCTCATTCTACTTGTTAGTATTAATGTATTGTTCTTGTGTCCTTCCTGTCAAGAACACGGGTTGCTGTAATTAGGTCTGTATCTCTTCCTGCCATCCCTCTGTCTCCCCTCTCTCCTGAACAGTCTCGACACGGCGAAGACCACTTTCCGCAAAACCAGTTGCGAGAACCTCTAAAGAAATTGTCGGTTTAGTTTCAAATCACATTCAGAAAGTATAATTTTATACTCGATGATCTATCAAAACCTAAACAAATGTTACATCATTGTAGTTCAATTTTTATTGTCTAACTATTGCTAGTGAGAACAATAAAAGCAATTAAAGATGATAAAAATTTAGGAAAGATAAAAATATAACCAATAATATCTCTACGGTATTTTCCTTGTCCAAAGATTCTCCATTGTTGAGCAAAAGCTGCATTTCGATCCCATCAATCGTTAGGAACTGAGAGTGGCCCATAGTTGGTGGGATCTATCACCATAAAACAAATCGTAAATATTTATACTATATACATTGTTATAACAACAGTTAACTTTCAACAATACTTCAAATGAGAGACACTTTAATATTCTCTAGTCGGAACGAAGAATTGAAGTTTTTTATTGCTAATTTATTACTGGCCCTAAGTCTACGAATAATTGTTCCAGGCCTTTCATTTACTGTCAGTATAAACGTCAATGAGTTCACTAAGAGAATATATCTTCAGAAGTCTGATTTTAAGTCGAATTTATGCGTATCAATAATACTTGTTTCGCCAATTTACAGCAACTAATTGCGACGTCTTTCGTATAGATGTCGACAGCGAAGGAATAATATACCTCTTCCCCACAACAGAGACTACAATGCGCGGGGGCAAGAGCCGCGATGCCTCGTCGTGACGAGAGCAAACAGTCGCACTCGAACTCGTTTCATTGGTCGAGAGGCCTGCCCGGGCCGCAGCGCGCCTCGAGGCTGGCCGGGTCCACCGTGGGCGGCGGCGCCAGGGGGCTCGGGGAGCGCGATCTGACGCACGGAGGGGGAGGAGAGAGAGACGAGGAACGAACGTGTGGGGGCTGTCGCGAATTGGCACGTGGCTGGATTTCGAGGGGCTA